CGTATTACCCCCACCTGGGTCCCTGTGGCTGACTGTACCTCTGTCTGGCTTCCTGGCTTTTAATCCCCTTTCTCCTGCTCTTCTGGCCTGCTGCTTTGGGCGTCCCTGAGTTGTCCCTGGGGCTGACTGCTCCTCTGTCCGGGTTCCTGGCTTTTCATTCCCTTTCTCCTGCTCTTCCGGTCTGCTACTCTGGGCGGGACTGAGTTGCCTCTCCTCACTTAATCCCTTTGGCTGACTGCTCTTCTCTCTGGCTTCCTGGCTTTTAATCCCCTTTCTCCTGCTCTTCCTGCTTACTACTTCGGGCGTCCCTGAGTTGTCTCTCCTCACCTGTAACCCTGGAGAACACCTTTACATACCTTGAATTCAAGAAGTAGGCTGTTGGGTAAGGAAGGCAAAATAAGCTAAATTTGTATCTTGCTTTAGCTCTGAATGGAGTTGTTCATCAGGATAGATTTGTTGTGTTAGGTTCCATCATGTTGGTTCTAACTCATAGTGACCTGACGTAGAAAAGAATGAAACACTGCCTGGTCTTGCACCATCTCCACAGTCGTTGCTATGTTTGAGCCCATTGTTGTAACAATTGTATCAGTCCCTTTCATTGAGGGTCATCTTTTTTGCCATTCCTCTATTTTACCAAGCATGATGTCCTTCCCCTGGGACAGATTTAGTTATTCTTTATCCTTATTTATAATTCTCAGTATTGCAGAATCCTTGGTATATTTTTAAAAGCTCTATGCAAGTAGCAAATTTTGTTTCTCCTTTCTTCCCAGTTTTGGAGAATTTTGCCTGGTTCACCTGCTACTGAAGAGGAATCCTGTCATGTTCTTCCAGCACTTCATTGAGTGTATTTTCCACTTCAATAACTATGAGAAGCATGAGAAGTATAACAAATTCCCCCAGTCAGAGAGGTCAGTGAATTGACTAAAGTAATCTCTTTATCTCAGTAAGACTTGGTTGAACCTTAAGAGATGTTCATCTGTTTTGTATACAGTGGTTAGATCAGATCCTAACTTAAGTATTTATTGTGGCAGTCCTTGCTTTCTTTGGCAGGACCAAAGGTAAAACAATTAACTTGTAAGAATAATTTCCTAAGGAAGGTTCCTGTAATGAACATTAGCCTCAGCAGTGTGCTTAAGCCATTGGTATATAGCTTTTAGGATGACGTTACAATGCTGTATGCAGGCTCTTTTTTTCCATGTTTACATGATGCAGTAAAATTGTTCTGTTTTGCCATAGAGAGAAGCGGCTCTTTTCATTGAAGGGAAAGACAAACAAAGAGAAACGAACGAAAATCTACAAATTTCTTCTACAACACTTCACAGATGAACAACGATTCAATATCACCTCTAAAATCTGCCTTAGTATTTTGGGTAGGCCTGGAGTGTTTGGTGTATTTAAAAGTAAAGCTCTGTGTTGGTAATGGACCCAGCCAGTCTGTAGCAAATGTGAACCTCCCAGTATAAGAAGACCCTTGTCTTTGTTCTTCCTTAGCATCTGCTGGCCCCAGATGGACCCTCCTTGGACGATTAGATCCCACTTCCCAGGCAATGGTTGAGGTTTCCCAGAGGCTGATCTTTTGTGCTTTCTTTCATTATGCTTTCTCTCAGCATGCTTTGTAGATGGTATCCTTCCCCTGGATATGGAAGCAAACGAGCTACTCTCAGACACCTTTGAAGTCCTCAGCTCAAAGGAAATCAAACTTTTGGCAATGAGTTCTAAGCCAGATAAGGACCTCCTGATAGAAGAAGATGACTTGGCCTTGGCCAATGTAGTTATGCAGGAAGCACAGAAAAAGCTCATCTCACAAGTGAGTTTGGGGTTTTCTCTAAGAATATCTCACTCTGCTTCCCCTGTTTGTCCCTTAGGTATTGGTGGTATAACTGAGATCCTGATTTTATTCTTACTATTGGCTTTAACTGTCTTCCAGGTTGTGATTATTCTCAAACCCATGATTCTAGCACCAGATTCTCTGTAAATCTAAACCTGGTTCCACTTACCTGCCTTGGATGTGCTTCAGGCATCTCCTGCTTCCTGTGTCAAAACCAAATTAATCATCTATTCCTCCTATTCTTTTCCTTCTTTTTACTACTGCTCATACCCCAAGAAAAAATAATAAGTGTTTGAAAAAAACATAACTTGCTTTCCTTTTTCCTGTCATCTATATTGTGGAGAATGGAATTGTCCATAAAGTTGTCCAGAAGAGAAACCCAGTATTCTCTAGGCCAGAATTTGTCATGCCATTTATAGGCTTTATTTGGCCAGTGGTTGTAGACATTTGAACATGATTAATTTAGGTGAACAACTTTGTTGTCATAACCCTCACCAGGCCCATTTCCTGTGCCTCACATGGATTGTTAATTTTCATTCTTCACCTCGTCCCAAAGGGTTTTGAGCCAAAGACATAGACTTCCTTCACATCCACTTTGCCACCCGATCTTGTCCATTTTTTTCCTGAATCTATCTGTGTTTTGCATTTCCACTGATTCTGAAGTAATTTAAGCCTGTGCCATTTTCACCTGTTTCCTTAGCATCCTTTTGTCTCTCATTTCTTTCTGTTCCAGGCCATGTACTACATTAATGCCAGAGCAATCTTTCTTAAATACAAACTTGGTCATTTTATTCTCCTGTTTAAAGTAGGTTGGAGGCAGATTAAATGCAAAGAGGCCTGGGGGAACTTTCTGGAGTGAGGGAAGTGCTTTATGTCTACATCATGGTGTTGGATACTCAACATAGCCTTTTGTCAAAACTCATTGAGCTATTCATTTAAAATGGGTAAATTTTATTGTATGTAAGTGGTACCTTACTAAAAAATGTCATTTAGAAGTGTATTAGTAGCTTCCTACTACCTTCTGAATAAAAATATGCTGATTCATTTTCAAAGAATACAACTCTTTTTATGTGTGCCATGCTGTGCCTCTCCACTTCCTCCTCTCTCGGATCTCTGCAGTCCAAATTATTGTTCATTCCTCAGATACATGTTCTGTCATGCTTCTGTTTCTTTGCATACTTGGCTCTTCTTTTTGTAATGCCCTTTCCCATCTGTTCTTTTTTTCCACCTAATTTCCTACACATCTTAAGTGTCATCTTTTCAAATAAGCCTTCCTTGATACCTGTTCCTGTTTGCTTCTTTCCTGCTTGGGCAGCCTTTCTCCATATGTGCCATAGCACCCTATCTGTCTCTTGTGTCACGTACTGTAATGTACACACATTCATCTAGAAGCAGCTTGAAAGCAGGAATTCTTTTCTTTGTTTCTCTGTCCACAAAGGTAAGGTTTGGTCTGGTGCTAATGTGTTTTCTTTTTTAATTTATTGTGCCAAAATATATAAAAACATTCACCTCTTTAACCATTTTTTTAATAATCCTTAATTGAAATTTATTTTTCATTTAAAATACCTGTTCTGTAGTGTCTTAAGTTCAAACACTATTGTGCAGTATATGAAAGAGCACTCTCTGAGTGAAGGCTATTTTAAAATTTTTATTATAGTAACTATATACGTCACAAAACATTTGATATTTCAGATCTTCACATGTACAATTCATTGACATTAATTATGAATGTCATGTTGTTCAACCAGCACTCTTGTCACAAATTATACTTCCTTTCTCCTTAATATTTGCTCAGTGTCCCCTAAACACTGAGTCTTCCTTTCCCTCTATCATTAGTAACCTTTAGTTTCTATACACTTGCCTATTCTAGATATTTCTTGTAAGTGAAATCATGCCATATTTGTCCTTTTATGACTGACTTATTCACTCAGCATAATGAATAAATAAATATATATATAATAAATAAATAAATAAATGAAATAAAGCATCACAATAAATGGAGAGAAGATTGAGGTTGTCAAGGAATTCACGTTGCTTGGTTCTACAATCGATGCCAACGGAAGCAGCAGTCAG